TGCTGACTCTAGCTGCCACCGTGACTAACAGGCCACCATCTGATTACCTTCTGAAAGGTCAGACTATTAATTATCATCCAGGCTTTAAGGATATTAAATAGCCAAGCACAAAATTAAAACAGCTGTAACACATTGGCTCTTCTTCTGCCCAACACAACGTAAAATGCAGAAATCTTGCATTATTTGCTCTTAATCAAATAAAGATTATTTAAAATAAACATGCCTAAAATAAATATAGAAATACATGTAAGTGATCAGATATCCCACTGAATTTTTTTCTTAAAGCAGCAACTCCAGCTGCTTAAAATTTAATTGAAATACGGCTTTGCAGCATTTAATTCAGAGCTTGGCTAGACTGTCAGCACACTAAACACTGATGCTGACTGTGTAATTTTTAATCCCCGTAAAATATTTGTACAATTTAAATTTTCCAATACTCTGGAAATTCGATGTCATCCTTTCAAATAAAAAATCAAATAGATTATTTTTAAAATTCATTTATATTAGGCAAAATTCACTTGAGGCAACATTCCTCCCAAGCAGGTAATTACTGTGACTCTTAAGAAGCAGCCCCACACACAAGCCCTTTTAATTTAGCCACTTAAGGTTATTAATTTGCAATGCTACCATGTCTTCTTTAGTTTTAATTATACACTAGATAGCTTTGCTTGATTAAAAAAAAAAATCTATTCTTTTGTAGTATTTTTATTTAAAACTCCATGCAAGCTACATATCCTAGGAGCTTTCACGTTTATATAAATATACATACCTACACCAACCCACTGTTCATACAGAACATACACTTCAGAGTATATTCTGTTCCTTAGCCACCAATTTTTTTCTTTTTTACTGAATAAGTGATGTGATCACTAAAGACTCAGTAATCCCACTGCCATTAAAGCACGACATGGTGCAATATCAGGTGTTTGAACAATAATTTTGTGTCTTATTTACCTGGACCTCACTTGTCCTTTGCTTGATGGTATCTTCTTTCTCCTTCAGGTCTTGCTCTACATTATTCTTTTCCCTAGAAGACCAGCAAACAATGCAAGAATACTTAAGAACATCAGCTACAGCAGGTACAGTTATCCAGCCCCCTAAGCCTGTCTCTCTCTTTAAATACATAGTGAAACATTAAACTCAAAAGATGTAAGGGACTTCTGCTTTCCAAATTATTTACAAGACAGAAGCCCACATAAGTGTTCTGCATAAAAAACCCCGTCTTTTCACCCAACTGCACTTCAGAGATAAGAATGGCTCAAAAATGGAAGGGGGCGGGAGAGAGAAATCAATGAAATACTGTCTCCAGTGATCTCACTGTTGCTATGGAGCACTTGTCTAATGAAAACTGCTGGGAAAAGTGGGAGGGATTGCATCAGATTCCATCTTTTAACCCCTGCAAACACAATAATTCCTATGCTAACAGCAGCTAGAAAACATTACCAGCAGGCCCATCTAGCTGATTAATGAACTTTGCCTGTCAGATTTTAGATACATCTGTTGGTAAGCTCACTCAGAAGAAGAAAGGTTAGCTTGCTGTAATCACTGTCTGCTCAGAGACTCCATACGTAGTTATCTGCTGTGTCATATCAAGTCTGTCTCTACAGACATTTATTCAAGTTTAAAAGCTACTACTGATGACAGGGCAATTATCAATAAATTCTTGGCAGTCAGACATAATAGCTTTAAGAAAAGGAAAAAAAACAACATACAACACAGAAGTGTTACTGTTTTAAAAAAAATCATGAGTGTTTACCTCTGGACAGTATAAGGAATCTATTCTCCTTTCACAGACGCAGAAAAGCATTAAGCTTTACAGTTTTAACACTATCTTCTGTATACACATATTGACCTTCACAAATATTTTGTTAGTACAAACATTAGCACACACATTAAAAGTTAGAATTCGAACAATGATAAACCTAAAATTTCTAAATGAAATATCACAGTGAAAAGCTATCAAATTTTATTACTAGTACATATTGAAATTAAGGTAACTTCATGTTTTAATAACAGCAGATTGATTACTAATCTAAAACTACTCGTGTTATTGTTCACTCTTATCTAATACAGAAGAAAGCATTTCTGTCTCCAAAGTAAAGCAGGTCTACTCTAAGTTCTATTTACTCAAGCTGAGGAATTCTTATTTATTGCTAAACCACATAAAATGAAAAACAAAAAAAAAATCCAGATGTGACAGATCTTAAATGAAGATTTGTTCTCAAAAATAATTACTATAGACTATGTTCTGTTATTATTTATCTCAGTATCTGATTATAAAGAGCAGCTTGCTGCTTGTGTCCAAAGGGAAGGTTTAAATGGAAGGGAAAGGAAAGATGTGGAAAGAGGGACTTTGAAGAACAAGGCTAGTTATTTTGTTAAGTGTGAACCTTCAGGTTTCATAAAATTCCTCACTCTCCATTCATCAAAAAAAATTGTCATGGAAATTATAAGCAAATCTTTACCATTTCTATCAAAGCTATAGGACAGTCCTCTAGCTCAATAAAGTAGTATTTGTAGCATAGTTGTACTTCGATATTTAAAGCATTGGAACACAAGGTTGAAACAAGGTCTGTTGATTTTGCCTTCCATAACTTTCCATGAACAAAGAGTCTCAAGCTCAATAAAGCATTTCCACAGATCTAAATACCAGTCAGGCTGAAAAATACCTTCAAGCCCTCAGACACACATCAAACCCAGCAAACATTCAGGCATATTATTCCTGATTGAAGATGAAAGAGAATAATTGACTAGGTAAACAAATACTTGTTATTTCTCCTGCTCGGGTATGAAAACTTAGCAGGAAATAGAAACACAGGCAAGTATGTATGCTTTCATATACAGCCTTTCCACATTACTGTCACTGAAATGCCTAAGAGGCTGTCAGAGATGAACATCACTTCCCTCTTATTTCAACAGAAGCCAGGTACCTAAACCTTGCAATCTGGAAAAGCAAGCAACAGGATACAGTACCCTCCCCACAGGCAGCTTACACTGGCCAAATCACAACACAAACAATGAATTGGGAAAAAAAAACCACAAAATCCACAACAAGTGAAAGAAGTATTGTCAGGCAGAACAAGAAAAGCTTAGGCAGCAGTCTCAGGCAAAGGAAAACAAGCTGAGTGTATATAGTCTCCACATAACACATCCCCTCCTCCCCCCCAGTAATGCCTCTTTGTTTCAAAAAAAAGACAACACAGACCTACTTAATTCACTAATTCTTCTGAACGCCTCCATTTCTTTTACAAACTATCTGGTATGCCCCTGTAGGAATGCTCTGAAAGTAACAAAATTGATTTATTGGATATGACAGATTTCCTGGATCATAAAGTCCCTTACCACATCCGCACCTGGGAAAAAAAAACCAAAAAAAACCAAAAAAAAACCCAACCCACAACAAAACACAACAAAAACTAAACCAACCCCACAAGAACTGTCATCTTGCCAATGAAGGACACTTGTCACCAACTCAAGTCATTTTATGACAGCAACACAATTTCTGTATGTATTCTAATAGTAGTCAGGTCATGAGAATGTCATATCAAAGAAATTAAAAGCAATGATTAAAAAAATCCCCAAAACTAGTAGACGGTTTCCCCAATGCTTTACAGATATTTCATACTTTACAATTAAATAATCTTAGTAAATCCGTAAGTTTAATACTAATTTGTGAATAGAGTAATTTATAAATGGGAGCCAGCACACTGCAAATATATGTTATAGCTGACAACTGCAGAGTCCCCATGTCAGCAGAGGCATTCAAGCCAAACATAAAAAAACCCCTGGCCAGGCTTGTTGATGGCCAACACTTAGAACCACCTCAGTTACAAAAACAAAAAAATCACAGTTCTTTTTCATACTAAGTGACAGATGACTACTCACAGAGCTGGTAGCATTACCTACACTCACAATTGCCCAACGGTTCTTGTTTTCACATACATTTGTACTTTTGGGAATACCTAGCGTAGTAGTACTTAGGTTTGGCAATGCTAGAAAAAATGCCTAGGGTTTGCCTTGTTTCTTCTCCCCTTTGTTCCTCCCAACCTTTTCAGCTGCAACACCTCAGTTACTTCCAAACCAGAGGTTAGAAGAAATAACCTAGCCTACATGAAGATTCGTACCATTGCTTTGCTAAGAAGCTATAGATCTCTGAACTTTGAAACAAAGGCTTGACAAAAGTATAGGGCAGGGAGAGGTTGCCCTGTTTTTCTGGGGATGTTTTGCCATTTCCTTACTTTTGGGAGACGAACTTACCAGCTTTATGGTCCTTTTAACCTGAAAACAATATAACTGTTGCTGTCCAACATATGTGAAGGATGGCATCTCTGCTAAGAGTTACTAAGTTAAGCTCAACTACGTAACACGCTTAGCGAGGAATGTAGTATTGACAAAGCTTGAAGAAATTCCACTGATCTGTGGGCTGTAGCTAGCTTTGAATGCATGAAAGCAAAGCAGGGTTTGCTGAGGAAGAAAAAGGTTTTATGGCTCAAAAAAGAATATTAAGAACATCTGGTCTAGCCTCCCACAATGCTGATCAAAAAACCTTCAAATAGCTTTCTAAAAATATAGTGCAACTGAAACAGAACTTACAGGCAGCAGTGCTGACAAGCTCAAAATGATGCAGATTCCACAACGTCCCTAAGCGAATCATTCCCCCCACCAGAGGGGAATTATCCTTGCTAATAAGTGTTCCGCATTTTATTCTTCATCTGATCCTCAACCTCCACCTTCCTGACATGGTTTTTATTGAATTAGATTAAAAAGCTATAGGCTACTAGAAATCTTTCCCATGGAAATTGTTGAGCCACAAACATATCACCTCTGTATTTTTTGCTCAGTCTCTCAAAAAGCTACGTTTTCCACACATTGTCATTCTTTTGGGCATTTCCTCTGATGCCTTTTTTTTTTTTTTTAAAGTGCACTTCAAAAATAGATTCAATTTCTATTACTGGGTCTCAGAAATGCAGCTCTCATGGACACTTCTCAATGGAATCGTGGACTAGAATTATTACATATGGAGTTCAACAGCTGAACAATGTATCTTGCCTGATAATGAACAAAAATAAGTTTAAATTACATTTTTATATAGTAACTATCAAGACTGAAAGTGTACTTTGCCAGTTATATCAGAAATGTGGATTTGCCAAAGATGAAAACAGTTTCCTACATTTACCACAAAGATTAATCTATTGCCTAGCATTGCCACCTGTGCTTCGGGAACGTTACAGAAAAGTAACATCTACTCTGCTACCGAAATCACTCTTCTACAGTGGCTAAAGCATTTCCAAGTAATCAAAAAATTAATTTCCTTGAAAAAAAAAAGAAAACATTTTACTTGAGCCTCAACTCACTTCATGACATTAAGTGTTTGCTAGTCATTCTCAATGAAACCCCCAAAACCTCTTACTATTGGACTTCAGTTTGATGATACAGGCTTAAGCCTCTGATTGTTAATCCAGTTCTGTTCTGAATGTCGAAATCATATCAAAGTAAATTTCCCCTTTCTAAAACTAAATACATACTAATAGTTGCCACTACCATATCATCAACAATCTAATATCATTCAAATGTGTCTTAAATAATTTTCCGAGTGTATTTGTCACTGAAGCAATGATTTTCCAAAGGCCACGGTTCCTTCATGCCTCACAGTAAGAAAAGAAAACAAGGCATAAACAATCTGGCTTGCATGTTAGGCTGCAAGTCCACCTACTGAAAACCAAAATTCATGGTAGTGAACAGTTTATTTCTCTCTAAGATACTAACAGCAAATATACATGGTTGTAAATCATATTTCAGGTTAATAAATGTGAGAGTCCAAAACTGTAATTAATACAACCTAAAGAACAACCAAGGAAGGCAGGGAGAAGTGAGGAGGCAGTGGGAGTAATAAGAGGGAGAATAAGCAGTTGAAGTGAAAAAAACATTTTATGTATTTAGGAAGCAGACTGTGCTTTGACACATTGCCAAATTAAATCATTCCTGCAAGTGACATGAATAAGACAGGCAGATTTCATCATGACAAAGCACCTCACTTATAAAAACAGTAGAATTAACTGTTCTTAATAGAATTTTCAGTAGTTTTCTGATAGTACCAAAAAAAATCACTGAAGAAAAATATCTACTATGTCTTGAGAGTATGATGAAGACTATACAACATGTATGAACTTAATTTTATTAGTCACTTGAAGTCATCTTCTTAATTACCTTAGAAAAAATTAATGGAACCCAAGGGTCTGCAGACCTCAAATTAAAACAGTTTTTCTC